AAAACTATATTAATTGTAGATACATAACACCTTATGAAGCATTATGGCGTTTATATGAATATCCAATACATCATAGAAACTCAGCCATTCAACGTTTATCAATACATTTACCAAAAATGCAAAACATAACATTCAGATCAAACCAACATCTAATTGATATAATGAAACAACCAAATATTCATAAAACAACTCTAACAGAATGGATGGAAACAAATAAAACTGATATCAATGCTAGAAATCTAACTTATAATGAATTTCCAACTAAATATGTTTAGAATAGTAGATATAAATATTGGTCTTCTAGACAAATTGGATATACAATAGGCCGATCATATTATATTCATCCAAACTCTGGAGAATTATATTATCTAAAATTATTACTAAATCATCGAAAAGGAATAACAAGCTATGAAAATCTTCAAACTATTGATAACATAACACATGAAACATATCAGGCAGCATGTTATGCATTAGGTTTATTGGGAGATGATAGAGAATGGGAACAATCCATATTAGAGGCATCTTTTTGGTCTACATCGTCATAACTACGACATCTATTTATTATTATATTATTATTTTACAATGTAAATAATCCACTCAAATTACTCGAAAAAAACTGGAAACTTATGACTGATGATATCTTATACAAAATTTAAAAAATTTTTAACAACCTATATTTTGAAATACCAGAAAATGAATTATATAATTTTATATTACATGAACTAGAAAAATTATTAAACCCAAATTCATCAACTTTAGCTCATTTTAATCTACCCCTACCTACTGGTTCACTAATAAATGATTTAAACAATAAACTTTTAAGAGAATAACTTAATTATGATAAAAATAAATTAAAAATAGAAAATTCTTTATTAGTAGAAAATTTAAACAATGAACAACGAATTATTTACCATAAAATTTTAGAATCTGTTATTGATAAACAAAACAACTTATTTTTTATTTGTGGCCATGGAGGGACTGGAAAAACATATTTGTGGAATACAATTATAACAAAAATTAGATTTAATAATGAAATAATTCTAGTTGTCGCATCTTCAGGAATAGCATCACTATTATTGTCCAAAGGAAGAACTGCACATTCTAGATTTCGAATACCACTATCAATAGATAAATTTTCAACATGTCATATAAAAAAGGGAACGCAATTAGCACATTTAATTGAAAAAACATCATTAATTCTATGGGATGAAGCACCTATGACTAATAAATATTGTTTTGAAGCATTAGATAAAACACTCCAGGATTTACGAAACAATTTTGACTAACCATTTGGTGGAATGACAGTTATTCTAAGAGGTGATTTTCGACAAATCTTACTTGTTTTACCTACAAGAACAAAAGAACACATAATAGATGCATGCATAAATAATTCTTATTTATGGCCACACTTTCAAGTTTTAACATTTTAATACAACATCAGAAGAAAAAAAGGAGATTGAAAAATTTTCAAAATGGACATTAGACATAGGAAATGGTACTGTTGAAGGAATAAAAGATTTAGAAAATGAAGATATTACGTGGATAAAAATACCAGAAAAATACTTTGTTGATTTTGACCTAGACCCAATTGACAAAATGACAACATTAATATACGATAATTTCAACAATAATTTTAATAACATTGAGTACCTGAAACAGCGCGCAATTGTAACACCGAAAAATAAAACTGCTGACGATATAAATAATTATATATTGTCCTTAGTACCTAGTGAGGTAAAAACTTATTATAGTTATGATACAATGCTGCCTTCATCAGAAAACATAGAAGAACTAAATCTCTTATATCCTCAAGAATTTTTACACAATTTAAATTTCAATGGTTTACCATCACATGAACTAAATCTTAAACTCGGAACTCCAATAATGTTTCTAAGAAATCTAAATCAATCTGCTGGACTATGCAATGGAACAAGACTTATCATAACACAATTAATAAATAAAATAATAGAAGGAGAGATCATTACTTCAAATAATATTTTTGAAAAAGTTTATATTCCAAGAATAGAAATGACTGTACATGAATCTAAATGGCCATTTACTTTAAAAAGATGATAATTCCCTATAAAAATATGTTACGCAATGACAATAAATAAAAGTCAGGGACAATCTTTGAATAAAGTTGGACTATTTTTAGAAAATCAAATATTTAGCCATGGTCAATTATATGTTGCTTTATCTAGAGTGACTAATCTAAAAGGATTATATATATTACTCAATGATTCAAACAATAATTATCCCAATCATATAAAAAAATATTGTCTACAAAGAAATCCTACATAACATCACATAAATAAATATATACAAAATATATACCATCTTATATTCTTCATAACATTTAAATTTTTTGAGTACATCATTTTTAACAATAAACTCAATAAAAATATTTATCATTATAACAACATCTTATTTGTTTTTTTCAGGATTAACAAAATAAGACAACACCTATTCATGCACTTAAACCAAATTAAGTGTATGAAACGATACAAGCACGAGTATGCAAAATATGGACAAACAACGATTTTGTCACAAGACGCCTGATAAGCCTTGACTGTATCCTGGTTGATGAAGAGGTACTAAAATTTTAAAATATTATATTACATATTATTTTATATAATATTTATTAATATTTAATAAATTTATATTCTTATTATTTATTTACAGCATGAAGCAATACAGGGAACAATTCGAGCACGTGATTCGGACTATATTTCTCAAAAA